CCCCCCCCCCCCCCCCCCCCATCACCAATGCCACCCAACCTCACGACACGTATTACCACCACCACCACTTATTATCATCCATTATCACTGCCACCTATTGTAATCTACCACCACCATCACTATTAATCACCATCACTGTCATCCACACCCACCACCATCACCATCATTGTGATTTATGACTATCACCACCCTCTCTCTCACCCAAAATCTACCACACAATCACCGTTGTCATTCTCGGCTGCTACCACCACAATAGTCATCGCCGCCTACCACAATATTCACCGTCTCCTACCACCATTATCATTGCTCACTCCCTTACTATTATCGGTGTTTAAATTTTTTTTTCTCTCTTTTATGTTGTGTTTTAATTTTAAGTGTGAATATAAATATATTTATAATTGATAATTTTTTTAATTACTTCATACCTTTAGAGCAATAACTAGTTCATAAATATATATCCACTTCTTAGTTCTTTATTAACACTCAGAACTTGTTTTTGCAACTAACAAAAAAGGAAGAATAGCAAGGTTATGACAACTTACGACAATAATATATTTATAACATTGGAATCTACCAATAATTCAATAGCAACAATGCATCAAATATTCAAATTAAATTCAAGTAGTATTATTGTAATATATTTATAGTGTTCAAGACCTTGCCAGAGCCTTTGGCTTCCTAGTGGGAGGTCAGGGGTTCAAGGTCTCCTGGGCGCAAAAGTTTGACTGTTTGATAAGGCAAGACATTAGTTTCTTGGATGAACAGTATCCAAATTTCTAGTGAGTCTTGAATTCCCGGTGAAAGGCAAATCCTGATTTAAATGGTGTATGAGTTGAAAGACCGATTCATACACTTGAGTTTTGCTCTTAATTCTATTCAGAGTCACGATCCTGAACGACATAAGTGCACCTCTATCCGTTGAAGACAGACCATAGAATTTCCCAGTAAAACGTAATAACCTTGAAAAATAAACTAAAATTTGTTGGTTTCAAGTTTTTGGCACATTTGCTCATTAATTATTGACAAAAATTTGCATGGCAAATATAATGATTTTAAAATCTAATTTTAAATTATAAAAGCATGATTTTAGAAAAAAAATATAATACATTACATGAGGGCTGATATTGTAATTTTTCCCAAATATAGGGTTATTCTTTTGTTGACAACATGTTCATCCGACAATCTGATCCACACACAAAAGTCAAATGTCTACTCCAAACCTCAGGTCCTAAGGCCCACATCGAAAAACTCATAATACCAATTTTTTTAGCGGAATATATAAATTTTTTTTTTAAGTAATATTGAAAAGTTAAAAAAAAATATATTTCTTTAAATTTATCTTCCCAATGGAAACTTCTCACAAGGCCAGAACCCTTTTCTGACCACTCTTCATTCCAGTCTCTCTGTCTCTCTCTCTCTTCAATTCACATTCGCATTGCAAAGGACACTCTTACGGCGGAAAAATTTCTTCTCCGGCCACTCCTCCGTCTACTTTTACGGCAACAATGCACTCAAATCAAAATGTGTTCGACATATCATCTAATTTCCGGTGAGTTACGTCTCTGTCATTATCCGAAGACTTCAGCTTTGGAGTTAGTATATGTTCACTGGTTGATCTTGAAAATGTTGCTCTTTTACTGCATCTATTCACTCATTCAATCTTGGGTTTCTATTATCTTCTCTTAATACCCATTTACGGTTTGCGTCGAATTGTTGATAGAGGGGTGGGTGCGTGGGGATGGGAGGAGGTATTTTCTTTTTTTTTTGGTGTTCAGGCGCAACGCATATTACTCCCTCAAACTCAGCAAACCCAGCGAACCGTGATTTGAGCTGGGGTGGAACATGTTCCATAAGGGTGGCTAGCGTTAGACCTGGATTAACAAAGACTAGGCTCCACTCCTAAGGGTTGAGGGGAGGCGGTCTTGTTGTTGAGCACTCCCACCTAACAGTGTCACGATTTAGCACTGTTGGTGATTGTACCTGTCTTTTTGCTCATCATATTGATTATTGACCTAAAGTAATTCCCGTTTTGCAAAACTTTCAATTTGATACCCAATTAAACAAAGGCTCATATGCATAGGCATATGCATGTATATTAGCTTTTTCCTCTATAAATTACTACCGATATGGGCTTTGCATGTTTGTTGTGTTATGAATTTTGTATAGCTGTTGGTCATAATTATCTTGGAACTTTCAAACTTTGGATGCCAGTAAACTATTGCCTAGTGTCACTTTCAAGCTTTGAAAGTAAATGCATATGACCCAAGGCTCATCACATAGACTCAAATTGGGTCCCATTTGTGCCAAAGTTTCAATTCAAAGCCCAATTAACAAAATCCAAATATTAAAATTATGGACGTGGTTAATTTTTTTTGCTTGGTTTATGGTTTGTTGTGGTCCAGCTTTGAAATGTTGAGGTCATATGCTCTTTGATTCAATGATCAATAAAGGTTTTTTTGTTGCCCACATGCTTATTTTCCCATTGGCCCAGAGATTAACGCCTGCAGTTTCCGGGCACTGTCTATGGCGGTCTTCTCCAGTGGCATCTTGAATTTCTAGAGCCTTGAATGTCTTTTCAGGTACCATGACCTTTCAAATTGAGCCAGAGTTACTGACATTCATGTATTTACATTCCTTGTTACGATCTTTCTTTGACTGACCTTGCCTCGAAAACCTCTGAACTAGAATATTTCCAATAGTGGCACTAAACAATCACTGAAATGTGGGTCAACTACTGAAATGTGTGGAGATAATTTGTCAATATTCCAATTAGCCACTCAGTTATACTTGTTGATTGTATTCCTAAGGCTCTTTAGAATTGTTTGATCTTGAAAGTCGCCAACTTATCCAGTTTCACCTAACTATTATTAGATTGGAATTCAATGATTTTGGTGTGTTCTGTTCATATGCAGAGGCAAAAACTGGTCATAGTTCTTTATACCTTGGTATCTGCATGCCTTAGCGTATTCAGATATGCTTGGAAATTCATCTTTCCTGTTCTGCATCTCTCTTGGGTGTTTGGTTTTCCCAGTTGTCATTTCACAGATTCCGTTGGGTTCAAAACTTTCTGTGGAGGAAAACAACTATTGGCTCTCCTCCAATGGAGATTTTGCAATTGGGTTCTTTAGCTGTTCCAAACAATTTAGTCTTGGGATCCGATTCAATTCGAATTCTATTCTGATCAGTAAACAAACTGTGTTTTGGGTAGCTGGGGCTGATCTTAAGGTTGGAAACCAGTCTTATTTCGAGCTTACCCAGAATGGGAATCTGGTTTTATTTGATTCCGCAACGGGAGTAATTTCTTGGACAAGCGAAACTAGCAATGCATCTGTTGCTTCCACAGTCCTTCATAACAATGGCAATCTTGTCCTCTTGAATAGAAACAAAGATATTGTTTGGCAAAGCTTCGATACTCCATCTGACACACTTCTCCCTGGCCAGAATTTGTCTGTTCATCAAATTCTTCGACCTATTAGCAGGAACTCTATTTCGAGTTACTACAGTCTTTATATGGGTGGTTTGGGTCAGTTGCAACTCAGATGGGAATCCAGCTTTACTTACTGGACTGCTGGAAACCCTTCCCAGTCAATTGTCAGAGCCATACTCAGCTCTGATGGAACGGTTCAACTTCTTGACCATAGATCCAAATCTGTTTGGTCTGTATTTGGAGAAGACCACAATGATTCAGATGTTAAATTTCGGTTTCTTAGGCTGGATGCTGATGGAAATCTTCGGTTGTACTCATGGGTAGAAGCTACAAACACTTGGAGATCAGTTTGGCAAGCTTTTAGTAATCAGTGTGATGTCTTTGCAACTTGTGGTCTCCATGGCATTTGTGTCTTCAATGCATCAGGCTCCCATGTATGCAGGTGCCCATTTACATCTACTGGTGAATCTTACTCGGATTGTTTGGTTCCATATCAACAGGATTGTAAATCTGGTTCTTCCATGATCACATATGAGCACACATCCGTTTATGGAATTTACCCACCCAATGAAACTATGAAACATTCTAATTTGCTGCAATGCAAAAGCTGGTGCCAGGATGACCCACTTTGCACTGCTGTAACCTTCACAAATGATGGCACTGGACAGTGCCTAATGATGACAACCCGTTACATTAGTGGTCAGTCAGATTCCTCTCTAAGTGCAATATCTTTTGTGAAGACATGTTCAGATCCAATTGCCGCTTTACCCATATTCCCCAAGTCTACAGCATCCTCCACACAAGTTACATCCCTGAAACGGTCACACAGATTTTGTATTCGTTGTCTAGTTGGAGTGGCCACAGGCACTCTTGTCACATTTATCTTTATTCAGGTTGGAATTGGTTTCTGCATTTGCAGGAGAAGAAACCATGTCAGGAAGAAAGCTGCTTTAGGCTACATGGGTCCTGACCCAAAAGTCTTCAGTGTATTGTCCTATGCTGAAATCAATGAGCTTACAGAGAATTTCAAGCATCAAATTGGACCAAGGATGTTCAAAGGCATGCTACCTGATAATAGGCCAGTTGCAGTCAAAGCCCTGAATGCAACTGTTGAAGAAAGAAAGTTTCGAAGTTCAGTTTTAAAAGTAGGAAACATTTGTCACAAAAACCTCGTGAAGCTGGAGGGTTATTGCTCGGAGTCTGGTCATAGAATTTTGGTCTATGAGTTTGCCAAGAATGGCTCACTGGAAAAATGTTTAGAAGATCTCAAGGTGTGCAAGAGGCTGACATGGAGAAAGAGGATGGAGATATGCTTATCAGTGGCCAGGGCAATTTCTTACTTGCATACAGAATGTAGAGAGTTTATGAGCCATGGAAAATTAAAATGCCAGAATGTGGTTCTTGACGATAATCTAGAAGCGAAGGTGAGCGAGTTTGGGCTAGAGGGTGTTCTTGGTGAGGCCACAGATGGTGCTCGAGCAGCAGAGAGGGACGTTGGAGACTTTGGTAAAATGGTAATCATATTATTAAGTGGGTGCCAAATTGCAGATGATGTTTGTGAGTTGGCATATGAAAAATGGCTGCAGGGACAAGTTGAGACTATAGCTGATAAAAGAATAGATGGTGGCGTGAATTTGGAAGAGTTGGAGCGTGCTCTGAGAATTGCATTTTGGTGTTTGCAAGTTGATGATCGTATGAGGCCTTCAATGGGAGAGGTAGTGAAAGTGTTAGAGGGAACATTAACTGTTGATCCTCCACCACCTCCTTTTGCCTGTCAGTGGCCACCCGTGGAAGAAGAGCCAGCAGGGTCAGATCCCAAACCTTAGATGCTATGCAAAACATGGAAGATTTGTTTAATTTTTTTTGCAGTTACAGGTGCATGAGGATTTGATTCATTTTTCCCTCTACTATGTTATGCATAGAAGAGCTAACTGCAAGGAATGGGTCGCTTGAGGTATGTANATATTGGATACAATGGTAATACCACATCATAAATGTCACGTAATGTCACAAATCAATTATAAATTAATAAATAGGATCGGTGAACCCCACTATTTTTACATGACAAAGGTTGTTATTGCAATAATTAAAGTAAAGTCAATAAATTTTTATCAATAATTAATGACTATAAATAATTAGGAAAACTTTTATCCACACCCCTTAAAATTAGGTTTAAATTCAATAACACCTCTTCCCGTTTCTGAAACTTCATGGTCACCCCCTGTCAGTATTTGTCGAGTTACGGTGTTAACGACAATTGTTAATTTATAGAAAAATTCATAAATATTTTATAGGGCAAATTTAATTCACACTCTTTACAAATAGACATAACTTCAACGATACCCCCTATAAATAGACATATCTTTAACAATATCCTCTCATGATTATGAAATTTCAATACACTCCCTTTTAATTCTATTATATTAACCTTTAGGTTCATCAATTTATTATTTAATTTTATCAAATTAATGTCATTTTTAAACTAAATTAAAATTTCATCTCATCATATCAACACAAATTGATATTTAATTTTATCAAATTAGCATTTAGTTATATTAATTTAATATTTTATTTCATCAAATTAATATTATTTGTTTAATTTAACATTAAATTATTATTTAATTTCATCAAATCCACTACAAATTGACATTTAATTTTATTAAATAAAAATTTAATATATATTAAATAGAATATTAAATTTTATTAATTTAACATTTAACCTTATCAAATTAATGTCAGCTATTTAATTTAATACCAAATGAACATTCAATTTTCTTAAAGCATTATTTAAATTTTATCAAATCAACACTGAATATAAATATTAAATTAACACCAAATTAATATTTAAATTATCAAATGAAGACCAAATTTATTCAATTATTTCAAATAATATTTTAATTTTATATATGAAGGGTGATGTATGAAGAGTGGTCAGGTGAGGTTGTGGAGGATAGTTGATAACAGAAGAGTTAGAAATAAATAAGATTTTGACATAGACTTTATCGATTATAATTTTTATTATAAAAAAATTATTTTTAACTATAAAAATTATAAAAACTCAATTATTTTACTAAATGAGTGATAATATAATTACTAATATTATAACAAAGTTATCATGCAATGCTTTAAAATGATAAAAATTCATTGGGATAGTATAGTGATAAGAATCACGCTTATGTCAACCTCCTCATCTCCTATGTTTTTATCTCCACCAACAATTGAAGAAGACATCAATTCTATAATAATACATCAGAACATATTGACATAACAAAATATGGAAAAAAAAAATTAAAAAACGTGCATGTACAAAATTTAAAAAAAAATTGCATGAAAAAATTTTAAATTTGTAAAAGAAAAAAATTAAAAATATCTGAATGAAAAAAATTAAAAAAAAAAACTACTAAAATNAGTTTATACATGATTTACAATTGGTTAAATACATTGAGAACTCGTATTGTAATCACGGGTCTAAAAGACATAATTATGACAGTTCTTGAAAAAAAAAAGAAAAAAATTTGGTCATACACTTTTAAAGAGAAGAAAGACGACAAGATTTGAATTCGTAATTTTAAAATCTAACAACAGAGACGATTGCCATCAAATCAACCGATAACCTAAAACATTGGCAACATGAAGAAACATTTGCAAGTGGAAGATTTGATTGAACGAGGAGGACTGTTTGGATATATATACTAGTTATTGTTTGTCCCTGAAAGTACACAGTAATTAAAAATGGTAAACAATAAATATATTTGTATTCATATCCAAAATTAAATTGTAAACATAGAGAAAAGATAAAAGAATTTAAACATCGATTTGTAATAGGGGTGAAAGATAGTAGGAGACAATAATAGTTGTGGTGGTGATGATAATGGTAGCGACAGCGATGATGGTGGTGGTGGTGGTGGTGGCGGCAACGGTGGTGGCGACGACAATGGTGGTAGTGGTAATGGTGGAGGCAGTGGTGGAGATGGTGGCGATGATGGTGGTGGCGATGATGAAGGTAGAGGTAGAGGTGGCGATGGTAATGACAGTGACAGTAGTGGTGGCGGTAACGACGGTGGCGGGTGGTGGTAATGGCAGTGGTGGTGGTGGTGGTAGAGGTGACGGTGGAGCTGGAGCTGGAGGTGGCGGTGGCAATGGTGATGACGGTAACAGTGGTGGGGGTGACGACAGTGGTAGTGATGGTTATGGTAAAGGTTGTGGTAGAGTACTTATAAGAAATAATTCTTACAAATATTTTTAAAAAATTACTCCAAACACACCTTTAAAGATCTATCTTTTAAAGCAATCTCAACCACAAATAGTAAAAGTCATTTTGTTTATCTTTTGAGATTTGAATTGTAAGTTATTTTATTATATATATATTTTCTATTATTATTATTATTTTTTTGAGGGAGGAGAGGGGGAGAAAAACTTAAACCTTTGACCTAAGAAAAACAAAACCTTCGTAAAATAAGAAGTACTATTAGATCAAATGTCCATTATTCGATATTTATATTGCTCCTTTGTTTGGTAGTATATGTTGTCAATGAAATCCTAACCTATTTTCCGTTGGTTCAAAAAGCTTGGTCAGTGAAAAACTGTTTGAAAACAAAAGGTTGGGTTGCATTTGCAATTATTGAAAATTAATTTCAAATAAGACTATCATCATCCATCTCACATTACTATCATATATTTTGTACTGTAAAATCTATCTCATTATTTTATTTTATTTTATTTTTTTAGGTTCAAAGGAAAAGGGTGTCTGGATCAGTTTACGTACACCTCAACTAATCTCCTGCTCAGTCCGATCAAAGACGGAGAGTCCAAACCAACTTGAACATGCTGCTTTGGGGCGTGGCTCGATCACAATTTTCTTATCCTATGTACTGTATTTAATAGCANCCCCCCCCCCCCCAAAAAAAAAAAAATGTATTGTTATGAGCCACTGTGAGGAATGAATTGCTTCATCAGATTTCCCTGAACTTGATTTGCTATTGTAACACGACGTTGAAAGTAATCTCTATGCATATTCTTATCACTGGAAAATTGTGAGGCAGCAATTTGTGGTTCACTTAGAGATTTATATTTCATTTTCCATTCAATATGAGTAAGAATATAAACTTGCTTTCCAGAATTTTTTCATTTCGATGAACATGTCTGAAGAGTATCTGTCCATTGGCACGTAATGTCATAGCTACAAATTCATGGAATTTTGAGAACAATTTCATTTTTATGCAACCACCATTCCCAGTAGGTGACCACGTTGATTCAAATTAATTTGTTGGTTTGTGGAATTGACTGTACTACACCCACCTCAAGTACCCTGTGAACAACTCAACAATGGTGAAGTTGAAATGAACTGAAGGTTATTGTTCAGTTTGGTCTTCGTTAATCCAGGGTATAATAAGAAGTGATTTATGCTTACAGATCTGACCATCGATGTTACTTTTGAAGTGGTTGTCTTCACATTCGAATTCACAACATCAAGGTTATCTTTGAGCTATTGTGCTGATTGCAGAAATTAAACGAAGCACTTGGTCTAAATTGCACAGCAGAAGATGTATTGCATTGCTGATATGCTTCATTATCATGGAAAACTCTAAGGTATCGGTACCAANTTATCTTTGAGCTATTGTGCTGATTGCAGAAATTAAACGAAGCACTTGGTCTAAATTGCACAGCAGAAGGTATATTGCATTGCTGATATGCTTCATTATCATGGAAAACTCTAAGGTATCGGTACCAACGGTTATTATTTTATTTGGTAAAATTAAAATTTTGAAAGGGAAAGATACAATTGTTCAAAGAAAGTCATGATCGATCATAGACATCCATAATTAATTATAAAAAATGCAGTATCGATCACAATTTTTTATAATCAATTATGTTATTTGAAGTTATAACTTATATCTCAAAAAAAATTATAAATTTATATCAAAAAGTAATAATTTATAGTACTAATATCACCCACGGTACGGCAAAAGTTCCCATTATCATTGTCATCCTCAACATGAAAAAGATGGCTGATGAAATGATTGATACCAACTTAGGTCAGATAATAAATTCAAAATTAGACCACTCCTTAGACATGGAAAGAGTCAATATTGTTGTTGAAACAATTAAGTTCCATCCAATCATATTGAAAAAGATGAATAAGTACATTTGGTTCGGCCCCATCGACTGCTTTAGTCTGGAATGGAAGGACTACTATAGTCAAGCCCATAAAACAAGAAAATATTTAGTGCAATGGTGTATCATATTGTGGTTGTAGTATCATTAACAAGTGATTGGTTTGATAAATAAGAATTTGAATTTTTTTGTTCAATATATAATTTTAAGTTTCTATAGCTACGGCAATTTATTGAGGCTAAACCTATTTTTCAACTTTTAGAGTAAGCAGTGGGAAAGTTTTGGCCCCAATATAAATGCGATAGAATCGTCTGCAGAAAGTTGTGTGGTGTTGAGTGATAGTACTTAATATGTAGAATAGTCTATTTGGATATCTATTTACTATACCAAAAAAAAAAATCTAAAATTAAATTTAGCAAAAGAAAATAGTTTATACATGATTTACAATTGGTTAAATACATTGAGAACTCGTATTGTAATCACAGGTTTAAAAGACATAATTATGACAGTTCTTGAAAAAAAAAAAAGAAAAAAATTTGGTCATACACTTTTAAAGAGAAGAAAGACGACAAGATTTGAATTCGCAATTTTAAAATCTAACAACAGGGATGATTGCCATCAAATCAACCGATAACCTAAAACATTGGCAACATGAGGAAACATTTGCAAGTGGAAGATTTGATTGAACGAGGAGGACTGTTTGGATATATATACTAGTTATTGTTTGTCCCTGAAAGTACAGAGTAATTAAAAATGGTAAACAATAAATATATTTGTATTCATATCCAAAATTAAATTGTAAACATAAAGAAGAGATAAAGGAATTTAAACATCGATTTGTAATAGGGGTGAAAGATAGTAGGAGACAATAATAGTTGTGGTGGTGATAATAATGGTAGCGACAACGATGATGGTGGTGGTAGTGGTGGCGGCAGCGGTGGTGGCGACGACAGTGGTGGTAGTGGTAGTGGTGGAGGCAGTGGTGGAGATGGTGGCGATGATGGTGGTGGCAATGATGAAGGTAGAGGTAGAGGTGGCGATGGTAATGACAGTGACAGTAGTGGTGGCGGTAACGACGGTGGCGGGTGGTGGTAATGGCAGTGGTGGTGGTGGTGGTAGAGGTGACGGTGGAGCTGGAGCTGGAGGTGGCGGTGGCAATGGTGATGACGGTAACAGTGGTGGGGGTGACGACAGTGGTAGTGATGGTTATGGTAAAGGTTGTGGTAGAGTACTTATAAGAAATAATTCTTACAAATATTTTTAAAAAATTACTCCAAACACACCTTTAAAGATCTATCTTTTAAAGCAATCTCAACCACAAATAGTAAAAGTCATTTTGTTTATCTTTTGAGATTTGAATTGTAAGTTATTTTATTATATATATATTTTCTATTATTATTATTATTTTTTTGAGGGAGGAGAGGGGGAGAAAAACTTAAACCTTTGACCTAAGAAAAACAAAACCTTCGTAAAATAAGAAGTACTATTAGATCAAATGTCCATTATTCGATATTTATATTGTTCCTTTGTTTGGTAGTATATGTTGTCAATGAAATCCTAACCTATTTTCCGTTGGTTCAAAAAGCTTGGTCAGTGAAAAACTGTTTGAAAACAAAAGGCTGAAAATTAATTATTGAAAATTAATTAATTATTGAGAACGTTGGTTCAAACTGTTTGAATACAAAAACTATTTGCATTTGCAATTATTGAAAATTAATTTCAAATAAGACTATCATCATCCATCTCACATTACTATCATATATTTTGTACTGTAAAATCTATCTCATTATTTTATTTTATTTTTTTAGGTTCAAAGATAAAAGGTGTCTGGATCAGTTTACGTACACCTCAACTAATCTCCTCCTCGGTCCGATCAAAGACGGGAAGTCCAAACCAACTTGAACATGCTGCTTCGGGGCGTGGCTCGATCACAATTTTCTTATCCTATGTACTGTATTTAATAGTAGTAAACATACAATAAGGTAGGTCCAATCATTAGGTCTGCGGATCTATTCTTTTATATGATAAATGGCCATCTCATAGCACCACCGCGACACCAATTCTTCGACTAAACCCCTGATTTCCTGACAGTTAGATAGCCGATAGTAGTAGAATAAGCTCAAGCGAACATAAACCAAGTTCAAATGCTACTTCTCTAAATCCAATCCTTTCTCAAGCAAAGACTGTTGACAAGTTAAACTCCAAAGCTTTTGAAAGATTAAACCAGTAGACTTCTAAGTTGATTCTAGAAATGAAAACATGACATAGATAAGACAAGAAATAATGAGTTAGTATCAGTTAGGGGGTAGAGAAGTTAGCTAAGCTGTTTGACCCCGTTTACACCATTAGCCAAATGATTAATGGGATACATGTTTAGTCCTCTTGTCCGTCCCGGTGCGCCTCCTTTAAGCAGAGATAAATCCAGCACATACCTGGATGGAAAGCTTCAGTGTTCAACAAATTTAGCAAGGGAGTACTTTTAGGTAGTCATACTGGTAGGAAAAACTTACAAGTTCTTCGATGCCTGTTCTACTTCCGCACCACCACTGTCTATCAGGATCTTCTGATCGATTTTTGATACAGAATGGTCCGTGGGGAGGCCGACTAATCTGGGTGCTGGAAAAGACATTCAAAAGATCCATCAGAAAGTTCTAATGAATTAAACCAATGATGTTGAGGGACAACTTACATGGTTTTTGAATATTATCCATGCCTTCATTAAGACATAACAGTTTCTGCATCAAATGGAAGTCATTATATCGGATTAGTATTGTCATATAACCTGGCTAGCTACGACCAAAAAAGGATCACGATGCATGGAGAGACGAATTTGTTGGAGCGACAATCACCTTAAGACTCTCGTAACAAGTATGCAGGTCATCATTTACCAAGATATGATCAAACAGGCCGGGCGAGTTTCCTTGTTCAAGCTCAGCCCTAGCATTTCGGAGTCTTTTTTGGATCTGTACCTCTGTCTCGGTACCCCTGTTCACAGACTTGACAAAATCAATAAAGGGAAGTGCAAGGGAAAGATGGTTCTAAATTTCTGTCTTGCTCACCTAGCACAAAGGCGTTTCTCCAGCTCCTCAAATGAGGGAGGGCAGATGAAGATGAAAATTGCTTCAAGAGAACTAGCCTTCACAGACCTTGCTCCTTGAACATCAATGTCAAGGATGCATCTCTACATCAAATCATACTACCCATTTGAAGTTTCTCGAATTAATTAACATCTCATTAGTTATTAATGTAGAACACTTCAGAGAATGCCATAAACGTAACACTCATAGTCATCCAACAGACAAGTCAAAAGCATCCACAGCATATGTGAACTCCATTAGGAGAGAAAATACCAAAGTCTGGGTAAGAATATGCCTATCATAAACCTTTCTTGAGCCATGTTTACCGGCTCAGCGACCCCATAGTTGTAAAACAATTTTGTTGCCCTACACTAAGATAGGGCATCAAAGAGGGCCTAAATTTATCAACACTTTCGTTCATGCCTACAAAGGAATGAACTTGGTACTGATCAGGAGAATCAATTTGCTATGCTGTTTTCGGGGAACCTAAACATGGTGGAAAAGTAGAGCAAGCAGTGCACCTCGCTGTTTGGATATTTCACCTCACAGATCCTTGTGATATCCTAGCAACTATGAAAGAGTCTATTAGAGAGGTCCAATTTACTGGATTCGTGTAGTCATCTACTGATATTAACGTTCCACCATGGTTCTGGGATGAGGCTCAAAAGAGTACTAATGGATGGATTGGCCAGTTGACAGAACCTTTGAGCATCTCTTTTCTGGATTCAGATACATCTAAAAGGAATGAATTCAGAGGTTGTGAAACTCTGCATACATGTTGCTTGTGCTCAACTTTGACATCCATAGAAATTTTTTTTCGTTATTTTATATGCAATGTCGAACTCTTAGGAAAATTGGAAAAAAGCAAAATTTATACCTTCCCTGCATCTGCAACCACCTCAACGGCTTCTACACTGGTTCCATAAAGATTTCCATGAACAGAAGCAAACTCAAGGAACTTCCCACCCTCTATCTCCTTCTCCATAACACCTTTCTCGGTGAAATGGTAATGGACCCCATTCTTCTCCTTGTCCCTTGGAGCACGGGTCGTGTGGCTCACAGAAAATCCAAACAGGTCCGGAAATTCTTTCATTAGTGTGGATATCAATGTACCCTTTCCCACTCCGGAAGGACCACTGATAACAATGGGCTTCTCAGCGGTACCAATTACACCTTTACTCCAGGCAACCACCTCAGTTTCAAAATTCTTTTTCTGCTCTCTTACAAATGGGGTGTCCACCTATTAGAACAAAGAACAAACCTTGCCCTGTAAGGAGTACAACAATGTAGGCAACCGAATGAAAGAACTCTAGTATACTGACATACAGCCAAGAAATCACATCTTTTATGCTTAGTACTGATTGAAGTCACCAAATGCAAGAATATACCTTAAAATACTACCGAAAACCGAAAATGAGCATGAAATCATCAATTTTTTTTCTCAAGCTTGCAGTCCTTGTATACAAACCTCAAGAAACCAAGTGCAGTCATCAGAGCTAGAATTCCCTTTAAGAACCAATATTCGGTCATCACTCAAAGCCACAGCTGAATGACCCATAAACAGCTTGGGTTCTATTCCCAACACAATAGGAACTACCCTGCATATTTAACGAGAGAATAGTAATCCAAGTTTTAACCTGGAAGGTTATTACAGCAATCCCATAGTTAGGCTTGACAACTCACAATTCACCCATAGATTGTTTGAAAATCCGCACTCCAATTGCTGATTCATCATCGATGCCACCAATAACATACTGATTAAACCAGGGAGACAGAACACAATTGCTCAGTCTATCAGTAAATTAGAACAGTAGCTTGATTAAATCATTATATTAGATTGTCATACTGTTTTTTTTCCGACAGTAGTAGCTGTTTGGTGGACTTTGGATTTCAAATCAATCTCATTAGAAAAATCTCTCTGCAGATCATCCAAAAAGAAAGCGGTAGCCTCCCCCTAATCAGCACAGCCCCGTAAAGATTAGATAAAACAAAGCAACCATTTTGATCCATCTATCTTCAATTGCATTTCATCAAAGAATCAAATTTTATATTTTTCAATGCATGTATTTCATTGCCAAAACAAATAACAAACTGTTCTATCAACTCACCATAGAGATAAGTATTCCTTCAGTTCAATATTCAAACTGTTTTAGTAACACAATGAGAAAAGTGATCAGATCACATACCCAATATCAAAATCTTCATAACATAGATTACATAGAAAAGAAAAAAAAAAATCAAATATTCCAACAAATTAATCGCCATAGTCAGAACTAGTACAGCATAACAACCAAAAACAAACACATGAAATCCCAGAACCCAAATGCCATTCATCATTAGAAATGCAATACATACACAAAAACAAGACAAGAATAACAAAAATCATGAGAGAGAATGAGACCCAAAACAATGTGCATTTATCAAAGATGAAAAACTCAATAAAAAAAAATCTCCAGGAGAGAGAACGAACGAAACCCACCTGAACTCAGTCTAGTTAAAATCAATGGATCAAACAATTGATTTGAGGAAAAGACAATGAAGAATACAGGATTGACAACAATGTAACTCTCAAGGCCAAGCTCTTTCTTTTTTTCTCTCTCTCTCTAGTTGATGAATTTCAAAGAAAAGGTCATCCCCAATACCAACTTTGAGTGCTTTATTCAACATCAGATCCTTGGCTTTCAAAGTAGAATTAACGTACAAGGGACAAAGTCAGAAACTTACAAAAGAGGAAGAAGACATTAAGAAACAAACATAGAGAAGCATTTCACCCTATTTTTTCTTTTTCTTTTTTTTTCTGTGAATTTTTTGGGTTATTGTGTTTGTATTTACTATTTAGGCATAATATTTTTGGTTTTCAAAATATGTACGTGTTATCAGTTTAATCTTTAAAATATTATGTTTAAATTATTCGTACATAAATAAACTGTTAAATTTTTTATGAAATAATTACGTTATACTATCTGAAAGAATGATACGTAATCATTTCTGTCAAAAAACTTAACGAATTATCTAATTATAGACCAAAGTCACACAAATTGAAACATTAGAGATCAAATTGACAAAATTAATACAATAAAAACTAAATTGACAAATCGAACATATTTAAATAACTAAAAGTGTTATTTACTCTTGTATTTATTTCATGAGCAATGCTAAATTAAGTTAATTTATTGTAATCATTAAATTGATCTTAGATTTGAATATTAGTTAAAATTTATTATTATTCTAATCATTGTAATAAATAAAGTTAACAAATTTAATCAGTAAATAGATTTAAATAGTCTTATTGTTATTTCATCACAGTGACATGCTAAGAAAAACTTCTTTTGGGGCCTTCATATTTGGAATGTTAAAAGATTTATGGGGTTTATTGTGGGTGAGTTTAACTTGTTGTGTAACAGTTTTGCTATAAACGATATGCTTATCAAGTTTTTTTACCAAGTTTTTCATAGTAAGTAATGTGGTATAATCTTTATCATTAAATATTAATAGGATCCACTTAATTGATAGTGAAAACTGTGTCACATCACTTGACATAAAAAATTTAGTAAAAAATCTTGATTAGCATAGCAATGTGATCACCGTCACTAAAAAGTGTGTTTTAGATGAAAAAAAAGTTTTTTGTGGCGACAGTNTAACGAGAGAATAGTAATCCAAGTTTTAACCTGGAAGGTTATTACAGCAATCCCATAGTTAGGCTTGACAACTCACAATTCACCCATAGATTGTTTGAAAATCCGCACTCCAATTGCTGATTCATCATCGATGCCACCAATAACATACTGATTAAACCAGGGAGACAGAACACAATTGCTCAGTCTATCAGTAAATTAGAACAGTAGCTTGATTAAATCATTATATTAGATTGTCATACTGTTTTTTTTCCGACAGTAGTAGCTGTTTGGTGGACTTTGGATTTCAAATCAATCTCATTAGAAAAATCTCTCTGCAGATCATCCAAAAAGAAAGCGGTAGCCTCCCCCTAATCAGCACAGCCCCGTAAAGATTAGATAAAACAAAGCAACCATTTTGATCCATCTATCTTCAATTGCATTTCATCAAAGAATCAAATTTTATATTTTTCAATGCATGTATTTCATTGCCAAAACAAATAACAAACTGTTCTATCAACTCACCATAGAGATAAGTATTCCTTCAGTTCAATATTCAAACTGTTTTAGTAACACAATGAGAAAAGTGATCAGATCACATACCCAATATCAAAATCTTCATAACATAGATTACATAGAAAAGAAAAAAAAAACTCAAATATTCCAACAAATTAATCGCCATAGTCAGAACTAGAACAGCATAACAACCAAAAAAAAACACATGAAATCCCAGAACCCAAATGCCATTCATCATTAGAAATGCAATACATACACAAAAACAAGACAAGAATAACAAAAATCATGAGAGAGAATGAGACCCAAAACAATGTGCATTTATCAAAGATGAAAAACTCAATAAAAAAAAATCTCCAGGAGAGAGAACGAACGAAACCCACCTGAACTCAGTCTAGTTAAAATCAATGGATCAAACAATTGATTTGAGGAAAAGACAATGAAGAATACAGGATTGACAACAATGTAACTCTCAAGGCCAAGCTCTTTCTTTTTTTCTCTCTCTCTCTAGTTGATGAATTTCAAAGAAAAGGTCATCCCCAATACCAACTTTGAGTGCTTTATTCAACATCAGATCCTTGGCTTTCAAAGTAGAATTAACGTACAAGGGACAAAGTCAGAAACTTACAAAAGAGGAAGAAGCATTAAGAAACAAACATAGAGAAGCATTTCACCCTATTTTTTCTTTTTCTTTTTTTTTCTGTGAATTTTTTGGGTTATTGTGTTTGTATTTACTATTTAGGCATAATATTTTTGGTTTTCAAAATATGTACGTGTTATCAGTTTAATCTTTAAAATATTAATTTTTTTAATTTCATGTATAAAGTATTTAATTCATGTTTAAATTATTCGTACATAAATAAATTGTTAAATTTTTTATGAAATAATTACGTGATACTATCTGAAAGAATGACACGTAATTATTTCTGTCAAAAAACTTAACGAATTATCTAATTATAGACCAAAGTCACACAAATTGAAACATTAGAGATCAAATTGACAAAATTAATACAATAAAAACTAAATTGACAAATCGAACATATTTAAATAACTAAAAGTGTTATTTACTCTTGTATTTATTTCATGAGCAATGCTAAATTAAGTTAATTTATTGTAATCATTAAATTGATCTTAGATTTGAATATTAGTTAAAATTTATTATTATTCTAATCATTGTAATAAATAAAGTTAACAAATTTAATCAGTAAATAGATTTAAATAGTCTTATTGTTATTTCATCACAGTGACATGCTAAGAAAAACTTCTTTTGGGGCCTTCATATTTGGAATGTTAAAAGATTTATGGGGTTTATTGTGGGTGAGTTTAACTTGTTGTGTAACAGTTTTGCTATAAACGATATGCTTATCAAGTTTTTTTACCAAGTTTTTCATAGTAAGTAATGTGGTATAATCTTTATCATTAAATATTAATAGGATCCACTTAATTGATAGTGAAAACTGTGTCACATCACTTGACATAAAAAATTTAGTAAAAAATCTTGATTAGCATAGCAATGTGATCACCGTCACTAAAAAGTGTGTTTTAGATGAAAAAAAAGTTTTTTGTGGCGACAATGTTGTCATAAAAAATTTATTTGCTACTGCAAATACTATTTTGAGACAGCATGTTGCGTTACAAAAATATTTTGAGATTCCACTTATTACGAAAAGATATTGTGACGTTATACTTCGCCATAATAAGTGTAGTTTCAAAAAATCTTTATGGCGACAATTGCCGTCTCAAATGGTATTTGAAACAGCAAATAAATTTTTTATGACAATATTACCGTCATAATTTTTTTTTCCCAAAATATANTTGGGGCCTTCATATTTGGAATGTTAAAAGATTTATGGGGTTTATTGTGGGTGAGTATAACTTGTTGTGTAACAGTTTTGCTATAAACGTTATGCTTATCAAGTTTTTTACCAATTTTTTCATATTAAGTAATGTGGTATAATCTTTATCATTAAATATTAATAGGATCCACTTAATTGATAGTGAAAACTGTGTCACATCATTTTTGATAAAAAATTTAGTAAAAAATCTTGATTAGCATAGCAGTGTGATCACCGTCACTAAAAAGTGTGTTTTAGAGAAAAAAAAAGTTTTTTGCGGCGACAATGTTGTCATAAAAAATTTATTTGCTACTGCAAATACTATTTTGAGACAGCATGTTGCGTTACAAAAATATTTTGAGATTCCACTTATTACGAAAAGATATTGTGACATTATACTTCGCCATAATAAGTGTAGTTTCAAAAAATCTTTATGGCGGCAATTGCAGTCTCAAATGGTATTTGAAGCAGCAAATAAATTTTTTATGACAATATTACCGTCATAATTTTTTTTTTCCCAAAATACACTTTTTTGTGAAGGTAAATATTGCCGCCACAAAAAACTTATCTCAAAAGACCCTAGTTCGTGAGAAAAACTCCACTTCAATGGTTATTGCAGTGAGCCTCAGAGAAAATTAATTATATGCATACATTTTTCTACAAAAATTTAATTTCAGTAGGCAAAGCTATGCATNAAAAGATATTGTGACGTTATACTTCGCCATAATAAGTGTAGTTTCAAAAAATCTTTATGGCGACAATTGCCGTCTCAAATGGTATTTGAAACAGCAAATAAATTTTTTATGACAATATTACCGTCATAATTTTTTTTTCCCAAAATATACTTTTTTGTGAAGGTAAATATTGCCGCCACAAAAAACTTATCTCAAAAGACCCTAGTTCGTGAGAAAAACTCCACTTCAAT